AGGGCATTATGGTTTTCAGGTAAGTCCCCCCTTCTCTCCCTCTTCTTATTCTTTATTTCATAGGTCCTCATGGTTGTATGGCAGCGAAGCATCAGTTCAAATGGCTGATGTACTGCTGTTGATGATGATGATGATGACACCCAGTGTGTCCAAGGTGCGTGCGAGTGCAGCCTGCTGACCTGTTTGTCTTAGAGTGCGGACGTTGAATGTCGCCATGGAAACAGGACAACGTGGCCTTATAAGGGACTTTTGCCGATAGGCGTCCGATAGGTGCTGTGGGATGGTGGCTGCAGACGGTACTACTCCAGTAGCACTTCGGTTGTTGTCAATTAAGCTGGGAATTATAGAAGGAAGGTTAGTAATAGGGGCCGGGATGGGAGTAAGAGAAAAAGGTGGAAAAGAAAGAAGGGAGGCGCTAGCAGTAGCATGCTTTCGCTTATCCGCCCTGCTGTATGCAACAGATAAGGCGACCCTTGATAATCTGCGCGACGGCCGATGCAGGATGCAGTTTATGTTTGAAGAAAATGTCATGGTTGTATGTGGGCTGGGATACTGCCAGGGCGCCCAGACCTAGACAGGAGAACGATTAGGGTCCTCATCCAAAGCCTTTGGCTCAAAAGCCTGTCCGCAAGGCAGCGGGGTGGCAGTGATTTAGTTTTACAGAAATGGACGCCATCCCATTTCAAACCCCCAACCTGGAGGACCAGGAGACTGAGTTTGTCTGACCTCTCACCATTGACCAACCTGGTAGGAGTAGCTCTCAAGATGCTCGGAGGCATCACCCAGTATAGCTCAATGGGTCAATGAGGTACGCAAACCGTCGCACCACGTTAAGGTCCAGTCTCGATGCGACGGTGGAGGGGGCACCCGGGGCACTGACACATAATGAGCGAATCCCCGAACTGATTATGTCAAAAATCTAAAGTTATGAAGATTTTGACCGGGAGTTTTGTTGATGCGCATCGTCTTGTCGATGGTTTTACTACGTCAGTATCTGTTCACACCGCTTATGTGCTGCAATCAGTCCCTATTGACGCTCGTCCTTTCATTTCTTTACACCTTTAGTCCATATGGGCTCTTATGGAATCGTCAACTATTTTTGTGCTGTGTTCCTTCCTTATATCTGATTTTACGCTCTCCAATCTTCATTGTCGTGACTGCTAGAGACCTAGTGATGGGATATACCAAATCATATTGTGAAGATTGAAATGGACTGAATTGCATGCCTGCATCCCAGGTGCAGGTTATCTTTCAGTAACTACCAAACGTGTTCCGGATACGCAATTTCCTTGGTGATATGTCGAGTGAATGGAGGGGGGGGGAGCCGGTGGTCCATATGCTCAGCCTTCGTGTTATTTCTACAACTCACAACTAGGTTAGCGAGTTGCACCAACTTTTATAGGCCTTATGGTTTATATTAAGAACGTCGCCTCTGTCGAAGATCTCATAACCAATATTCTGGAGTTGTTTTCAAACGGTCTCAAAAATTATGACCCAACGGTTATGTCGCTATTGATTAATTCCCAATCTATGTGGTGAGAGGTTCGAGGCTACCAGCCGAGCTACAGTGTAAGTCCGAATGACCGCTTGCACAATGGCCGTTAGTACACACTGTGATAATCGATTTGTTTCGCGGATCGGGATGCATAGGTGTTGGACACGTTGCATTAAGAGGGTTGTTTTGTTCTCAGAGCCAGACCTTTTAGTTGTAGACGTTTCGTCGCCTAGCTTTTCAACATTGTTATTGCTACCTAAAGGTTTGAACGCTGTATTTTCAGTCTGTAGTGTCCCACGGAGGAACAGTCATCATGGATCATACCAACGGATGAGGTTTACGACTACCATATAAAAGGCGTGTAGTCTTCGTGCCAGGTCGACTGGTCGAAACCTAGCTTGCCTCTACCTGCGACTCACTATCCACTACTTCCCTCTGGATTTAACTATCCAAATGAATGGCATGGGTTACTGGTTTATTTTTTCTTCTCCTTTATCAGTGACGAGCGAAGCGCACATTTGTGTAAATATGCCGTAATCTTGCTTATCATGCGAAGTAACGCACCTATTCTTCATGTGCATATCATGTAATGTCGAATTTCATCGTTACATATTTGGACGGAGTTCAGTAAATGAACTTTCGGGCCATCTGATTACTGATTGGACAATATTGTTTGCTCAGCTACATGAATCACAGTGGTATTTAATCAGTTGACCGCAGCTGTATAAACCTTCTCAATCGCTTCTTGTTTCATGTTCACCCCTTACTTTCTCCAGCTGATGGAGATTGCTCACAAAGTCACGGATTCCTACCATCCACTCTAAGTCGCATTTTCGTAATAAAAGATAAGGTCATATGTTTTTCTAGCCAGTTGTCTGGCCACCACACTCATTTGGGGGTGTGATTAAGCACCCCTGCAATTTCATCTTGCCACTTTGTTCCTCGGTTTCAACCACCGACAGAACGATTGTGCTATGTGCCCACCTAACAAGCGAGTCACGTAATTATGAACGCCTTGCAAACTAACCTGATATTACCATCATCTCGCTGTTTTTGGCTGTCTAGGGCACCATACATAGATATGTATGTGGATCATCTTTTGAGCAGTTGCTTTCAACCAACTAGGAAGCGTCGTCCCACGTGAACAAACACGGACATCAATCGACTCCTCATTTCCAACTCTCACTTGCTTGCCTACTAGCGCTACTCATGCTGATCTCTGTGTGCTGCATTCGCGGGCTATTCGGTTCATGAGCACGGGGGACACTGTACTGAACGCCTACCTGACTTTGATCAATATCCCTCAAGATGACCTTTCCCCTGATCACAGGTCATGGTTCATCAGGTCCTTCACTTGTAATCCTCTCTGTATAATCTTCACAAAAGTATGGAAGGCCGACTTTTACTTTTTGCCTTCTACTCACAGGATCAGCTTCCCCGCGTTGTGGTGGTTGGTGATCAAAGTGCTGGCAAAACTTCCGTTCTCGAGATGATCGCACAGGCTCGCATATTCCCTCGTGGGTCCGGCGAAATGATGACGCGCTCTCCTGTAAAAGTAACCTTGTCCGAGGGTCCGTATCATGTGGCATCGTTCAAGGACAGCCCTCGGGAGTACGATTTGACCAAAGAGTCTGAGATGGCAGCTTTGCGTAAAGATATCGAGGTTTGTCGAGTTACATTTTTGTACTTCGTTTCTTCTGACCTCTTGTGCTCCCTCGTTCACCATCATGTCCCGATTTCCGTATCGCTCATGGGCACATCTCGCATATGCACTTCACTAGTAACACTTTTATATAGGATCGTAATGGGCAATCTTTCGACTACTGGCTATCGGTATTTCAACCTCAAACACTTGAACCTACTGAATTTACACTGTCGACACGTTCAGCTGGGACGCGTTCAAATTTCTGTCTCGTCACATTGGTCCTATTAAAGTTGCGTTTGGTTAGAGGAGTAGTTTTCATTTCGGACGCATTCATTCTGCTTGATATTTACAACTTTGCTAGCCTTTGTTTAATGGTGTTCAGGACCTGTACGCTGTCACTCTTTTCACATTGGCTATCAAATCTTTATCTAGTTTTCGCCATACATTTTTGCCCCTGTCCAGCCACGTTTATGTACTCATTCCTGCTTCCTGAGATGTTAGCGATTCGGATCGTTTTTGCACTGGCCACGCTCCTCCTTATCATCATCAACAGCAATACATCAGCCATTTGAAGAACTGATGCTCCACTACCCGCAACCATAATGACCTAAGGAACGAAGAATAATAAGAGGGAGAAAAGGGAGACTTACCGGAAAACCTTGATGCCATAAGCAAGCATTCATGGTCAAGACGCATACCGTCACAAACAGATGGCTATCGTGCAAAGTTAAGGCGGTATCGACCAGATAGTTTCCTGGCGACTTACGCTACTCCGCGTCGTAATAAACCATTACCCTGCATATAACTCAGCGCCAAACACATTTTAAGCATTCAATCCGACTAGGGGATGACAGCAGACTCGCCACCGGTGTCGACTGCAAGCAGTGTCTTGTTAATTCTTCAGCCAGGCACACGGCGTGTCACGTGGACTCCAGTCTGAAAGCGTAGACGGATCGACGGCACCGAGTTTGGTCGTCAGTGATTTCATTACTCCCTGCCAAGTCAACTTTTGTCCACTTCGAGCGTTGCGCCATCCTACATCTGGAAAACAAGGCCCACCTAAGTAAGCGGTGACCAGGCATACGTAGCATGTGCCCGAGCCAACGCAACTTACTCAGTACTGTCTGTTGTTCTAAGGAGCTAACATGATTATCACTACCTAGTACGCCTACGCACATCGTCGTTACGGACACGCTGGTGCCATCTGACACTAGCAATGCTCCGCAGACAACGATGATCAAAGACTTGAAGGCGCCTCAGATCACCAGACCGTAGAGACCAAGTCTCACTCCCATAGAGCAGGGTGACTCAATGTGGTCGTCTAAACACGGTCTTTCAGACAGGGAAACCCGGTTCTGTCGCCAAAGATGTCCCATATTCACGAAGACTGTTTTACCATTTGCAATACGTGAACTGACCGGTGCTTATGCGCCCATCATTTCTGATGCAGCTGCCAAGGTAAGTGAATCGATCAACCAGCTGGAGTTCCTCATTATCAGAGTTTAAGGGATCATCAAGTGGCCGGTGGTCCGGCATGAACATTTTGCACTTTGAAGGTGCGAAGTGCATACCAAATAATGGGACCACTCTAGACAGGCTATTCAGGATTGCTTGTGCTGCCCCAGTATCATTAAGCAGCAAGACAATGTCGTCCACATAATCAAGATCAACTCTCCTTTCACCAGACAAGACCACAACGCCAGCACCGTGAGGCTCCGTAAGGGAATACTTCGTGATAACATCCACGAGAAAATTGAACAAAAATGGGGAAATCGGACAACCCTGACGAACGCCACTTGTGGTCGGAAAGCTATCCGATAGGCCACCGTAGACCCTGACGCGGCCTGTAGTGTTCGAGTATAGAGCAAGCAAAATATTCACATATTTTCTAGGACCACCTTTCCGTGTAAGCATTTCGAACAGAATGGATCGATTGACTGAATCGAACGCACTCTTGAACCCGGATTCCTCCTATGATTTCCATGGTTTTGTTGGACTCTGTGTCTATTCGTTAGACTTTTGCCCATACATACATACATACTCTGAAGTCGAGGAACATATCTAGGTTCGGTCTGCGGTACATATGGCGCTGCTCTAGCACCTACCGCAGTTTGAATATATTATCTATACAGCGCTGTCCATTTCGGAAACCTGTTTTCTTTTTCCTACCTCGGGATTCCCGTTTCGCATTGAAGCAGCGAGCGGTAATTGAGGCCAGTAATTTCCTCACAAATAGCGATAGGCTAATACCCTTGTGATTAGCACAGTCGGTGCGACTACCCTTCTTGTATATTGCCATTATAACCGATTCCCTCCAGTTAGCTGCGACGCTCTTTTCCTTCCAAACATGTTCGAACAGGGAGGTCAGTGCTTTGCAAAGGATCTCATTTCCATCCTTAAATATTGCATGTGGGAGTGAATCTGGGCCAGCTGCACGAAGCGCTTGATGGACGTGATCTCGTTTCGGACCTCAGCCTCCGATGGAGCTTCTGACCTGACCGTCCATGACTCATCCTGCATCACCTGAGTTGGAAGTTGTCCGAGAACAGGAGGCCAACTGAACTGATCTTGAAAGTCTTCCACCCAGCGAGTCATACGGCGCTCCTTATTGTCTATCAGTCCTTCCGCGTTGCCTCTGATTGTCTCACTGACGCCTGCTTTCCTGGGACCAGTGGTGCGGATCAGCTGGAAGAACTTACAGTTATCACCTACTGCTCCTGCCTCCTTCATTTGTTGAGCTCTACTGGTCCACCAGGCTTCCTTGTCAGCAAGTAGGCTCCGCTTTAGTTCGCGCCTAATAGCTCGTCTGGTCACATTGTGCTCAGAACCACCCGAGAGATTTCTTGTAGGTCCCAAGAACTTCACCAACCTAGGATATCTAGTGACTGGTGTAGTGACGATTTGTAGCCTCGTAAACAGATGCTACTGCGCCTTGCACGGCGGACGAGATCCTATTCCACTGATGCTCAGTGTCATTAGAGCAAGAGAGCGAATGTTCGATATACAGTGCATCCTCGTACTCTGGCCTAATCAAGGGCTGAGGTAATTTTTCAGTTGCTAGTGGGGGGAGACACTTTTTTGCGTCTCTCGGTAAAGTTCATGGAGAAATGACAACGTACCAAGGCATGATCAGAGTCGACGCAGATGTTCGAGAACGAGCGGCAATCCAGAATGGAACCGCGCCATCTGTAACTTATGGCAATGTGATCAATTTGGGTCCATCGTTGGCCAGCTACAGGAGGACGCCAAGTAACACTTCGGCGCTCACTGTGTCTAATAGCGGTGTTACTACGAAACAACTGGTGCACCGCACACAGTTGCAACAGATGCTCGCCGTTGTCAGTTTGTTCGGAGTTAAGTCCATTATTACCACCCAGCTAAGCATCTGAAGAGCTCAGACGCCCTACTTGTGCGTTCATATCCCCCGCAAGTACTATAATATATGAAATAGTAGCATTGCGTAGTAGCGTGTTCAATTTGTGATAAAATGTGTTCTTGGCAGCATCAGGACTGCAGTCGGTCGGAGCATAAGCGGAGACCACAAAAATACTACGTCTTATCCTACTTTGTGAGTCTACCATTCTCGTTGTCGTCAAACGGGCTTCACACAAACGGCTGTTCACCGGAATGCAATCAACCAACGATGACTCAGCCTTGCAGTTGATATTGATACCTGCCCAAGGTTGACAGCAAAGTCATTGAGATGGTTGTATCAGGACATTGGGTCAATGCTCTGTTTCGATTAAGACATGACTAAGAAAAGTGAGCAAGTGGATTTTGTCATCGAGGGTAGTTCAGATCATGGTAATCGAAGGAGGAAAGGAGAATGAAGAAACCCTGGCGAAGTCTTAGGATTGCGTCACATTAGAATAGGGAAAGTCCTGCTAACATGCCGTTAAACGGACTGCGCACAAACGGCTGTTCACCGGAATCCAATCAACCAACGATGACTCAGCCTTGCAGTTGATAGCTGCCTTAGCTTGACCCGTGAGTGCTGCATCAACATTTTCGGATGTGTACAAGCATATATATATATATATGTATATATATATATATATATATATATATATATATATATATAAGCAGTACTTTCCCTATTCTAATGTTACGCAATCCTAATGCTTCTCCAGGGTTTCTTCATTCTCGTTTCCTCCTCTGATTTCCATGGTCTGAACTACTCCTGATGAGCAAAAATCCACTTGCTCGCTTTTTTAGTTATGTCATAACTGAAACAGAGCATTGACCCAATCTTCTGATGCAACCATCTCAATGACTCTTCTGGGTGGATCTTGATGCTGAGTCATCCGAACTAATGTGTCACATTTAAGCACGCAGTCCGTGGTGAATAGGTGGTTGATCAAGTATGTAAACTATATACTAGAGATAAGTTAGAGTACTCATTATACATCGATTGTCATCGATAACGAGCAGACGGAATGTGCAGTGCACACTGTCTCGTAACTTTTCATGACTTCATCTCAACCTGGATGTCAGGCTGAGGCCATCTAATCATATTAACTAGGCTAACTTTCTGTCTCCAGCTATAGGTTTGTCATATTTCCCAGCACAATCAGCGCAAAACCGCTGACGCGATGCGTTCTAGCTACTTCAACTTGAGCCACTTGGCCATTGCTTTTACCAGCTTAAATTGTGCCTTGGTGACATGACTACACCGATGTTTCCTATCATTACCCACGGTTTCTATCGTCAGACACCAGGGGCGTGCATGGAAACTAATGGAGCGCGATGTCCTTTTGCGTACTAGTTTATTTCTATCTGCCCGTTTCACAGCCGTATTGTACTCACTGAATTTGATACAACCTTCATACCGTAGGTGAAGAACTCCGATGCCTAGCCACTTAACACCGTGTCTTCAGTGCCGTCCCGCGGGTACGGTCAAATGATCATTTGAATTTATTGGCCATCTCTAGTACAGGATATGGACAATTCTTACAGCATATTGCAAGCCTTAAGAATCCGCAACTGAAATAGATAATTAACTGCCGATACTGGCTTATCCAACATTTACGAGATCCTACGTAGTGATAAGCTAGAACTACTGTGGATCAATTCCACGCTGTACTCTTTGGCTTCTTCGTGTACATTTTTCACGAATTCATCAACAAAGAATAATCGTACTAGCCGAATAGTTCACACTCAGCTCTGTCTCGCCATATTCCCCACTATTTTCTAGCTGCGAGTGGGTGTGATGCCTTGACGACCTGCACATTATCGGTGCGGTGTTTTGCTCTATGGAATCCGAGGTCGTTTCGTTTCGTCATATACTC